AGTCTCGGGGCCACAGATATATTATGGCTGCTTCTGCTCCCTGGATGGTTAAGAATTAATCAAGTTACATCTTAATAAAAAGCAAAAACTGAGCTATTAGGTTGAGTAGAACTAATTAAAAGTACAGGTTATTTTTTTCATGTGCAACAAACATAGATATTTGTTTAAATAAAACCCTGTGATTTGAAGCATGCAGGTGTTGTTGGTGTGTTTTGAAGTAATTATTTCTTTAGTCTTGAAAAGAGGAACTTTCCAGAGTAGTTACATGGATATAACAAGAATGACAGAACTACAAAACCAACCAAAACTTGTCTATATTAAATTGAGAGGGACAATTTAATGAGAGCTTCAAGCAAAGAAGCAGCTCATAGGTCCATGGTAATCAGAAACATAATCATTTTATGTCATTAGAGAGTGCCAATAATGAAACTGAAAGTGATTATGAGTTTTATTTTCCTCTATGAATGTAGGAAACATATAAAACACACGTAGAGGAAAGTAATCTGGTTCAGAGCAATCAAAAAGCAACTTTTTGGCCTGCATGCGAAACACAACCTGTGACAGAAAGCAAACCCATCACTGTAACGCTGGGGGGTTAAGAGAAGGGAAGCTGGGGAGAGTGGATGGGAAGACGGATGAAGCCAAATGTAGGCCAATCCTGAAAGAACACCCAGAAGAAAAAACCTGCTGCAAAAGGCCTGAGAGTGCAGAGAAGCTTTATCTTGCAGTGGTACGATAAACCCGACCACACGGATAGAGGTAAGGTAAGGTAATTTTATTTATATAGCACATTTTCAGCAACAAGACAATCCAAAGTGCTTTACATGAGTTAAAAGGAAAAACAAACAAAATAACAAACCAAAGGAAAGAAAACTAATCTAATGTTCTAAAGTATGTAAACTAAGTGCTCCTATTCAGGGTTGCTAAGTATCTAATTCCATTTTTAAATAGTGAGTACTCTACAGTTTCTGGTAAAATAAGCTAAATAGTGACTGATCTAATTCCTTTTCTTGGTTAAAAGTAATATAAACTAAGCAGTGACTGTTCCTATTAAGTATTTCTGGATTCCAAGTGCGTAGTTGTTCTAATTCTGATTCTACTTCTGGCCTGTATAATGTTGATCTAAATAGTGCGTAGCCCACAATTTCTGATATTACGAATAAACTAAAATAATCCTTTTCTGGGTTAAATAGGGAGTACTCCACCATTTCTAAAAGAAAAAAGAGGAAAAGACACATTAGGGCAAATGGCAACATTCAGACAAAACAATGGGCAAAACAAAAACACGAGTGAAGGCGGTGATGTCAAAGGGCCACGGAGCCATGTTACTGAGCCTCCTTTCAAAGTTCGATAAAGGTGTTGTTTATCCAGGAATGTCCTTGGGAGGATTCAGCTCCACAGCTCCATGGATACAGGAGGGGTTGAGGAAAAAACAGAGCAAGCAGGGCAGACAAGGGCAGGGAGGGAGCAGAGGAAAAAAGCGTCCGCCTTCATCAAGAGCAAGCGAGTACAATCCTGAAGACCGGAGTGAAATGATCGGTTTAGGTCAAAGAATATCTTTGTGCTGCAGTGGCTTTCAACTTGTTTCCAATGGATAATCTCTGGCAAAACTTGAAAACTGTTGTGTCTCTTCAGTCTCCAGTCTTCCAGAGTTTGCACTATTATGCAAAGAAGTAACAAACTCTTTCTTGGATGATCAACTTGAGTAGCAAGTTTGTCAGGTTTAATAAATGTTTGAAGACTTAAAAAGAAGTAAAGGTCATAAATATTTAGTTAGATTATCACAGTGCTGAATCATGTTTTAAGAACAATCTGTCAAAATGTAGCGCAGTGTTCATAAAATGTTAAGAATCTGTAATTGGTTGTAGCACTCTGGCTTTTTATTCCTGACAGAATCTTGAACTTTTGAGGCGCGCGGCGCCCCGCACGATCAGGTCAAACCCCTCACCGCCTTCCTCCTTTTGTCTCAGAATTAATGCTACAGCGATGGTAGCAAAAGGGCAAGGTATGCACAAGCTAATTACGCGACTTCGCTTTCAAGAAATCCTGGGCGACTGTGAAATAATTGCCAGAGAGGGCCAAGATGCACAATGATGAAATAAAGTGTAACTGTCAGATCCAAGGGTGTATGAGGTTGTGATGTGGCTGCTGAGAAACGGAGGCTACGGGCGGCGCTGATATGTTTCCTAATGCTCTCCTCGCTGCTTGAAGATGCAAATATATTCCCCTGCTGAGTGACAGCTCGCTGTGTCATGTGCAGCGAGATCCTCCGAGGAACACGTTACTTCTGCATGCGAGTTTACTTCTCTCTGCATCTCCAAAAAAAAATAAAAATATCCTCTCCCCCTTATTCTGGTGAGTAGATCAGCTTGTGTCAGGTGAAAATAGAAGCAATCATTTATTCATCGATTGCAACATCAGAGGACTGAGAGGCAGTGGGGGGATAGTATGGGAGCAACAAAGAGTGTGAACAATTGACTGGCTGAACGATGAAGAAGAAAAAGAAAGATGGCAGCTGAGGTGATCGAGAGCGAATCAAAGATGGTAAAACTGTTGAGTGAGCAAAAAGAAGACGGTCTGCTCTGGCTTCAAAAAGTAGAAGCAGATGAAGCAAGGAAGATCGAGAAAGCCCTTGTGGCTTGCTTGTGGTAGATCAGTACAAAACATACGTAAAAGTGTTTAACATCAAATTTAAAGAGACAGAAAACATGTTCCTTTCATGAGGGTTATGGTTAAAGACTACAACTGTCCCTGAGTCGGGGATATTATTTAAATAGACGGACCACGGACAGAGGCAGGGAGACGATACTTCAGGTTCAGGATGAGCTGCAGACTATATTAAGAACTTCATAAGAAATTCAAAATGTGACTAATCCGATGACTAATTGAACAAACATTTTCTAAATTCAGGAGGGAGTCCAGTGCTTCTTAGATAACAATTGGCCGAACTGTTTGGCAGTTTTCCTTGTTAAGCTTTCAGAACTCATCTCATTGGCTGAACCCTACAGACCCTCTCGTCCATATTAAGGATGAGCTAGTGTCTTCTGCCTCTAACCATTTATCATTTCTAGTTCCTTGACATCAAGTTATTTGCTGATAACTAACACTCAGTGTTTAGATTGCCAAAGCTGCTTAAAGCATTTGAATTTTCACAAAAAACTAATTGAAACTATTGGTAAAAATATCAAGGTTTGAAAAACTTCTCGTTCAGCGATCGGATTTTATCCGCTGTAAACATCGGTTCTGCATGTGAAACGACGTCACATCCAAATTAAGATGTTGAAATAACATGCCGTTTGCTTTGTTGCTAACTATTATTAGTTGGCCCATTGGCTGGGTTGACAACTTATGAACTGCAACTTCTGAGTACAAACAACCTTTCATTTGCTCCATTTGCACAGGGAAGGTATTTCTATACGCAGATGACATCTTTATTTTCACACAGATGTGTTCCCCAAGTCAGGCCATCAGTTCTTGCTGGGTAACATATCTACTTACGTTTTAATAATAAGATTGTAGCAACTGGTTGATAGTTTGGTTATAAATATGTGGAAAAAAAAGTTAATAGCTAATTATTATCATATTGTTATAATGTGATTTCTTGATATTAAAACATCTGAAGGTAATGATCTGTCACATTTTTAGGGACAAACTTTTAGGCAGTATTATGACTACACTTTTCACTACAACTTTTGCTATTTTGGTGCATTTGTTTGGTCATAAAACAACAGTTTTGGCTCAAATGACACTCGTAGATACTTTTCAAGTAATACTTTTCTAATTTGCATATTATTTTCTAATTTTTATCACAAAACATTTTTTACTGCATCATTTCCAGTCATCTGCAACAGGAAGTTCTGGCTTGTAAGAAACAAAAGTGTAACTCTCATAAGATTAAAGTTGGAACGTTTTTAAACAGAAAGATGTAACGGTGAATAACTTAATGATCTTGCGACAGATGATTGCTCTGTTTCAGCATGTGAAGGTGAAATACTCAGTATATGACAATATCTTGCTTTACCACATCCAGCAGAAACAGTGTGTAATTGTTGAGACTTTCATTTTCTTCACACTCGCTTCAAACAGTGAATTTAGCGTTTTCTTCTGTACACACCCAGTAATTTGCACTATTTATGACTCATTAGAATGCTCCTCAAAGAATATTGCAATAAAAGATGTTCTCACCATGTGACGTGAGCTTGAAGCTCAGTTTAAACCAAACACGGTGTCTAACGGATGCCTGTAACTTTTAAAAACAACCCGAGAGTCAGATTTCTCTGTTTTATTGACACGATTCATAGACCATCTCATTTCAGATACAATACATGTCCAGCAAAGCGCAAAAAGAGTGAAAAGCCTTTGTTTTTAGCAAGGGTATACGTACATTTAACAAACATCCTCCACTCGCAGTGGGGGGTGGGAGTGGATACAGGATATGAGATGGGATTATTATTTTCATGTAAACCCCTGACCTCTTCAGGCTCATGTGAGATGAAGATAAGCGAACCAGGTTCCCTTACCAACAATGCATTATGTCAGAAATTCAGTTGTTTTTTTTAACTTCATAGATCAGTGAGCTAGCTAGATTCCTCCGACAGTTTAATAAAAAATAAATACAAGGAGACCAGCGGCTGAATAGCACAAGAACATTTAAAATGGAGGCAAAGAAACAGAAGCAAAAGAAGCAGACGTTACACAGGGAGAAGCCGAGGGAAAACTAAAAAAAATAAAAATGAATTATTAGCAAATTTTTTTAGTTGTGTTTTGCCTTCTTCCAACTCCCTTTCGAGCTTGAATTTGTAGTATCGTACAGCAAAGGACATTCAGCAGAGCAAACTGGAGTTATAGAAAACAATCATGCAAAGAAATCTGTTTCAACACATAACCACCGACACGGAAAAATCAGATCAAAAAATCAGCGCGATCAACAGTCAGTGCCTTCAGGTCTTTTAGTAGATGTTATTGTTGTTTCTCTACAGACTTTAGATTTGCTACTGTACTTTGATAAAAATGATATGAGAGACCCGCTTCCTCTTGGCTGTCCAGTCCTCTGACTGGACCGACATTCCACTTTTATCTGTAGGATCTTGGGCAGGGTGAGGATCCAACAGTTTGTAGCCAACAGTCGTTGTTCCAGAACCTCCCACCCCATGACCTCTGACCTTGCCCTGTCGACCACGGAAAAGTCCATCTGGGAGGAGCCTCAGGAATGACCTTTAGGTTGATATTTGCTTATATAAAAAAAAGGCGTGGTATTTTCTTTTAATGGCATCTGTTCTTAGTATTTTGAGTCTAATATATTTTCTATTTTTACAATCATCTTTTTTCTAGACAACAAACGATTAAAGAGTTTCATTCCAAAATAAAAATGCCTCTAATATACCACTATTAAAGGCAGCTATCAAAATAAAACACACCGTTAAAATCAAAAAGTCATCTTTAGACATTTATTTACAAAACCTTAATATTCCTTTCAATGATCTTGTTTTTTTTTTTTAGATAAATAATATTGCAGTATTTCTCCAATAGTAACATCTAATTTTGGAATGAAACACTTCAATGATAGATTTGCGTTCATTTACACATTCAATGCATTTTGCATTCACAGATAATGCAGTCTTTCACAAGTTCTTTGTTTTAACAAGATGTTCTCGATACGGTCTCCTCTTTCAGAGATTGAATACAATGAGCTTGTTTTTGTTTTTTCCCCCTTTCTTCCCAAGGACAACGTCTATCTATCCTTACTGAATCCTCCTCCGTTACAGCTCCTCTGAGCGGATGACGTGAAACAGTGTCACGTTGTAGAGCACCTGGTGGCCATTGTTCCAAGCATAGAGGGCGCGGTCGTGAGGATTGTAGTCCAGCATGGAGATGTGCGAGTACTTGTTCTGCAAGGGAATGTCAATGTACTCGTAAGTCGAGGAGTTGGTGGAGTACGCGTAGTAAACCTTGGTTCCTCCCGAATATCCGTTTGTGACGTAGAGTGTGCCGCAGATCATGAACGACTCGCCGGCGCTCCGCTTGGGGTGGTTGGTGGTCCAGCTCTTGATGATCTGCAGCGTGTTGGGGTTCAGCTTGCTGATGACAATGTTGCCGGCGTTCTGGTTGGTGGCGTAGACGGCCCAAAGGCCCCCCTCGTCGACCATCAGGTCGATGTCCGAGTGGCCGCCCCAGGCGTAGTGATACGCGTTGTTGAAGCCGGCGTAGTCCAGCTGCCGGGACTTGCTGATGGACGAGGTGCGGAAGTCGAACTTGATGATGACGTGGCTCTGGAACTTGTTGAAGTAGATGGAGCCGTTGTAGACCACCTGGCCCGTCCCCGACCACGGGTGTGGCAGCCGGTGGGACGTGAAGTTGTCCGACGTCATGAAGTCATGCATGGACTTGTACTCCCGAACAAAGCGGTTGTTGTGGTAACCGTCCATGTACCAAACCTAAGCAGAATAAAAAGAAAAGGAATGCTTCAGATCTCTGCATCTTATAACTCCATAGTGTTAAATTTGCCCCACAGTCAAAACTAAGCGTCACAGCGAACAAGCATCCTAATCAAGATAACAATAGGAATTCTTTTTTTATTTGAGCCAACAAAGCTTTTAATAATAATTAAAACTCCTGATGTCATCCTCAGGATGGCAGCTGACAGACCCTGCCAGGATAATGCCATCATGCTGCAGCTGCATTTTAACCCTGCTTCCTGTTGGCTCCTTTGGCGGCCGCCATTCCAGAGCCACTAATACCTTCCCAGTCTCTGCGGAACTGATACGGCTAAGGCTCTTTCACCACCTGGTACCCCCTGCTGCTGCGACTGATTGGTGAATGCCAGTCACATGCAGGGAGCAGGTCCCCTTGGAACAGGATGAAACACACTGGAGTAGAAAAAGAGGTCGAGTGAGACTGTCCACTTCTGCCAAGTAAACACTTTTGTGCCATTTCGCCTTTTGGTGTGTTTTAATCAAAATCGACGATTTTAGTCTTTACAAAGCTCCCTTCTTACACTTCAGCTAAATTCTTAGCATTTTTCGTTCAATCTAATGTTAAATTGCCTCATCGGCTGTATGGATTGTGGTATTTTTGAAACAAGCTTTCTAAAGGAAGGTGTTATAATTAAATAATTGTCTATCTGTTATCGAGCTCCATCCTCTTCAAGGCCCGACGTCCCTATTAAAATCTTACAAACGTTTTCTTTGTAGTGCATCATAATTATATAAGTAACAGCTGTTCCTGTAATTTTGTGTACACTCATCTTAATCATCAATGCCATATTCACTGTGGGCTTTTAACCTTTCGTTTTTCCAACATTCAGGTTTAATGACTTCTAAAATAAGAATTTGTTGCACAGGTTTGCAGCCATCAACGAGGCAGTCGTATGATATTGGCTGTATAACAAACAGCTTTTCATAGCAGGGTCTGGTAGAGTTTGGTTAAATTAGTTGGTTTCCTTGCACAGACCTGGCTTTTAAACTCAGGGAAGTTTTTTTCATGGAAGAGAGTTTTTCACACTTAACATTCACCTTCTTCGGGCGTGCTTGTCAATGTGACTGGATAAACTAATCTTTGTCTCTTCTGACAATAAATCTATAATGCTATTTGGCTCAGCCTTGTGGGTGGATGCTATTTGCAGCTTAAGGGTTAGGGTTAGGGTAGGGATAGGGTTAGGGGTTAGGGTTAGGTAAGTACTTATTTTAAAGTAAGTACTTCTTTTTTTACTCTGTACACCGCCAGAGGAGACATGATGGTGATCCAAAGTTTCATTTTAGACAGCGACACTGGTGTTTCAGGAGGTTCAAGACCCTGGCAGCCTTGGTGCCTCTAGAATTGTACTTGAACATCCCAAACAATTTCCTTTCATTTGACGGTGACGGTCTGGGTTAGAACTAGCTGCAAATAATTATTCTGGGAGGCCATGATCCCCAGTGAAGGTAAAGACTGATTTAACATGGAAAAGCAGGTAACATGAACCTTCCAGATCAGCCATAACTCATATCCTGTTCATAACCGGCTTCACTCCCCAGTGAGCAAAACAACTGCTTTATTTTAGCAGCCGGAAAACAGCCGACTAACCAGTGTGATTTTTTTCCAGCTGATTGAGCCAAGAACACTTTAATCACGTATTGGGACTTCTGATGCCCCTTCTGCTCTGGCAACATTTTTAACATTCTTGAAAATGGCATCGTCTTTCTCAGAGCCGCAGTTCAGTGACGTGTGTCTTACTGAGAATCCCTCACCTTACAATGCTGATAGGACAAGCTGCATGTATCTTTGATCTGAATTTATAAATAACACTGTTGTCTGAGAGGGATAGACAAAGCACTTACATGCTTCCCAGTATCGCTGACATCATTTGAAAATGACAAATTCAACGTTTTTGAACTTATCCTTAAAAGTTGAGTTCATGGCAGGAAACTTTTAAACTTTCCCAGCTCTGCCAAGCAGGAATCATCATTATACAACAAAAACGAATATGGCATCCACCGATTTATACCGATAATAAGTGTATGTGGACTGATGGGAAATGCATCTTCTGAGCCAAAACAAGTCCTGCTATGCAAAAGGGAAGCTGATGCAATTGGCTACAAAAGCAGTGCTGGTCAAGCTAACCTGACGGCTAACGCCACTCGCTCTCGGAGTGGTAGACTTTTTCTTTTTGTAAAGAATAGCTGCAGCTTTGGAGTCACGTTTCTTTGTGAAGTACTCAGATAGAGAACAAGCTTTGAAGTCTAATGTTGTCGTCTGCTTATCAAAGATTTTAGAGCTGCCGCTAACTAGCAAATGCCCAAGCTGAGATATTTAGTTACAACTTATCTGATGGAAACTGAAGATGTTGGAGAGCAGAATTGACAGGTTCTGTTGGTTGCAGAAGACAATTTTCATCTGAGATTATGTGTAACAGGCAATCAGACTTCTGAGTAAGTTTATACATTAGCACATTTGTAACTTACAACACCAGCAGCAACGTCACAAAGGCCTACTATTATAACACTTTGAATTTAAAACAAAAAGTCGAAAAGAATCAGTTTTGCATGGACCATTGATTATAAGGTAATTAGATTATGATAAGCAAAGTTTTGAAATTTCTAATCAAACTGTTCCTATGCCTTAAGGTCCTTTTATTAAGATGCCAAAGAAATACTAGAGTGACCAGCTGTTGAACAGCTTTTGGAGCAGCTGGACCTGTGTACTGCACACCTGCTGGGCAAAAGAAGCGGACTTCATTTTTCCCTCTACAAAGGAAATATCAGCTGTAGATCTGGTCACAAAAGACAGATGGTCAACATTTTTACGTCCATCATAATTAATGTTATTTTAATCACTATTAAAATCCAAATTGGACTCTTTGCCAACTGGCAAAGATTGCAAAAATACTGTGCATGACTTAAGTTAAAAGCTTTGCTCATGTGCTTTCTTCATATTCCGGAAATAAATAAGATTATTGCCAGAGTTTAAAATTAGATTTTTAGCTATTTCCATGACCAGATAAATGTGGGAATAATTAAACTGGGCCAAAAATGTTTTGGTCCTTTTTTAGGATTGTCTCCATGTTCGGTTTTTCAGAGTGAGTAAATCAAAAAGTTTCCTTGAGAGGGTCATTTCTGATTTCTAACTTCAATATTTTCAACCAACTACAAACTAAGTTTCATTAAGAAACAGTAACCTAATTGAGCTGTTACTGCTGACATTAACAACAACTGACTCAAATCAGTGGAAATCAGTTTTTCCACAAAGCCATGACATCGTCTTCTAGGTTTTCCCAAACTGATACAAGGTATAGCAATCTTAGCATGTCTGAACTTATGAAACTAAGATAAAAAATACTCTACAAAATTATTTCTCCTATGATTCTGCCAATTATCAAATAGAAATTATCTAAAAAAAAAAAAAAAAAAACGTAACAGAAGTGGTAAAATAGGAAAAGTTTTTCATCGACTCTTTTTGGCAGATATATCTCACCAAACTGATTACCCAAAACGTTTCCAGCTCCACTGTTCGACTTCCACACCAAAAGCTTTAAATGTCCAATTCTTTTTCAACAACCAGATTAGACGTTGTCATAAAGTTGCGTTTAAAACCCAGCTGTGTTACTGTGTGCTGTACCTACCCGGGTATCTCCTTCAGGCGCCAGCGGGTCCGTCATCCAGGAGCCAAACCTGGATCCAGACGTCTTGATGGTGATCGGATCACTGATGCCTGTCAGTTTGCCGCAGGCTGCAAGTAAAGAAGTAAAATGGGAACATCTGCAGCAATGCCACTCCCCCCTCCCACCCATTGAGGTCGAGCTTTATGGGAAAATATTATTTTGTCATAAGGATGAAGTTGGCAGCTCCAGTCCAGCTCTATGGTATCTTACAGCCTTTCCCCATGCATGATGTACTCTGCAAGAAGTGCTTATTATTCTGCTCACATATGCTAATGCCTGTTTTACCCTCAGAATGGGAACGTGTGAAGAAGTTAGGGAAATGGAAAAAAACAAAAAAATCAGGAAAGGGAGAGGCTCTCTGTACTTTTCCTCTTGTGTGAACCACCAGGCGTCAAGGCGCTAATTAGCGTTGATTGAGGTGTTAATCTAAATTTGACAAAAATAACGCTGGTCTTGCGTCCCTCCTGACTGAGTTCAGAGTAATCGTCTCTATCTAATAAGCGCAGGCAGAGACTAGAAGGTTTCATTAGGCTTTCTAGACATTTCTTAGCAGAGAGAGAGAGAAAAAGTAATAATAACTGAGATCACAGCAAAGGGCTTCTCAAAAATCACAAGATGGGAGTTAGCCACAGTAAAAAGCTAATTTAAAGTGCAACTCTGAGACGACTGCTCTTTTATGGGTTTCATTAGCCTCTCTCTTCCTCTCTCTGTGAAGCGTTTCATCCATTAGTCCATCATCCCCTTTTTGTTCTTCACCGAAGTGGAATGTCGCAGTCCTTTTGTGGACATACAACCCGGGATTAATTTGTGCTTCCCTTCTACTTAATCTTCACACACATTGCAAACCCCTCTCGCTGTCACATTCCAGCCTCTTATGTAATGGGAATCGTGGCTTTGTGCTGGAGCGTCGGCGTGTCTCTCCGTGCGTGGCATATGTCATGCCCGAGAGAATGTGTGGGAATTGTACCTTGGCTGCAGCTGAGAGACAAACGGATACTCGCACGAGCGTGGATCTACTGTTTCTACTGGGGGGGTCGAGTCCCTTACATAACACCTAAGGGTGGGGGGAATTAGAGACCGCACTCAGACATTAGCCATTGATTTATTTATTTATTTTCTATAATCGTGCATCTATCGTTAGAAGTCCACTGCTGCTGCAGTGGGCAAGGCTGATGGATCTGCTTTCTGGAGATACGGCGCAGGTTCTAATCCCCTTTTGGCCTGAATTTGTTTAGCCTGAATCAGAGGCCAAATCCAAGTGGGGGAAAAAAAAAAAAAAAGAGAGCTGCGGCCGATGCCACAAAAACACAACCAGCCCATCAGTCAGAACTTATTCATATTTTTTAGCATGGTACGCATGCTAATGTGTTTCATTGGGATTTTATGTGACAGACAGTCCAACACAAAACAGTGCATTAATATGGAAAAAAATGATACATGGTTTTCAAAACTTTTTCAAAAAAAAATGCACTGACCCTCAGAGTCAGTCCTTATAAAATCACCTTTTTGCTCCAACTACAAATGCAGGTTTTGTGGGTGATGTCTCTATAAGCTGACATTGACTGATTGTTTGCCCATTTTACTTGGCAAAAATGTGTAACATGAATATGTCAACCAGTCGTAGCCTTGCAGGAAGGTGAACCTTCATCCTTGTCTTTTACAGACTAGAGCACCTTATTGACATGCAGCTCTGGAAAAAATGGAGCCCACTGCACTGAACCCCATTGAAAACCTCCTGGTTACTCCACCAAATATTGATTTCTGATTTAAACCAACTTAAACATTAGTGTTATTGTTTCTAAATGAATATGAACTTGTTTTCTTTGCATTATTTGAGATCTGAAAGCACTGCATTGTTTTTGTTACTTTGACCATTTCTCATTTTCTGCCAATAAATACAAAATCTTTGCTTGGAATTTTGGAGACACGTTGTCAGTAGTTCATAGAATGAAAGAGCAATGTTAATTTTACTCAAACATATACCTATAAAAAATAAAATTAGAGAAACTGATCATATTAGGTGGTCCCTTTATTTTTTCCAGAGCTGTATGTTCAGCTCCATACCTTTTCTCATCAACTCCAGGGAGTTTCCCTGGTCCTGCATGATGTTGCTACCAACATGTTTCAATAGAAAATAATAATTTCTGGACCATGTGCTTTATGAGTTTTCTGACTTATATAATGTGCATAATGTTCATCTAACCAGCTCATCTAATTCCAAATGTTTGCTGTGACTTGTGCCAAACTGCAAATGGGACTTTTCCCAACGATTAAACATTGTTTTGTTTTTTTCTTTTATTTCATTACTCTTGCTTGAGTAAGCAAACAAATAGTTTTTTCATTGCTGTGGATTTGGAGTTGAGGATTCCTTCGTACAAACCCACTGTCATCTGGACGAAGCAGGCAGGCAGCATTGTGAGGATCATTGTTCTTTGATTTCTCCAGTGCAATCAACACAATTCAGCCTGATTTGCCTGGCAATCTATTACCTCCAGGCGCTGTAATAGATTGAAATCTTGGAAGCCCCTCGGGAAATACAGCACATCTACAAAGTATTCGCAACGCTTCACTTTTTCCACGTTGTCGTTTTACAGCCTCGTTTCAAATTGTATAAGATTGATCTCATTTCTCAAAAGTCTACACAGACAATAATGGAGTGGCTAAAGAACGAGCAGTTTAAGGTCACGTCGAGGCATAATCAGTCATTAGATCTCTGCTCCAAAGAGTGAGCCGAAGATTTGCGTTAGCAAGCAACAGCCACGAAACTCTGAGGATTTCGAAAGCCTCCGTAAAGAGTGGTGTCAAAATCCTTCCTTATATGCATGAAACGCTGGAGAATCAAACACTTATTTCACTCACTGACATGTAAACTAACTCTTAACTTTTCTTTTCTGTGCTTCCCTACAAACAGAGAACTAGGAAGGAACCACATACTTATTTTTATCATCAAGGTGACTTCTGAAGACAATTTGTTGCACCTGATTTACTTTACGGGCATCAAAATCCAGGGGCTGGGAGGATGAACACAAATCCTCACCACACTTCTCAGAAAGAATTGAAAACCACACATCCGTTGTTCTCCACTTTAAAGTTTTCTCCTACCTCGTGTTAGTCTACAGTATGAAATACATTGATGAGATTTTTGAATTTTGGGGATTTGTTTTGGGTATTTTTTATTATTTACGGTTCCAAACGGAGAACGGGAACCAGCTGCCGTGGAGCAGCCAGCAGAGGTATTTCTCCTGCTCCTCCATCCATCAGTGTGTCTGCGTTTCCACGGCCTCCCTTCACCTGCGGCTCTGTGTGCATCCACATTGCGGTGGCACGGCAACGGGAGATTTATATATTTGATTATTGCCCAGCAAGCTGGCATGTCCACTTGATCGATGGCCATTGTGTCCCGACAGCCGCGGGCCCGTTAGTCTCTCTGGCACACAGCAGCTTGAAGGACAGCTCAGCGGAGACTCTATTTACTCTCATTCACTTTTCCTGCTCTTTTTCACTTTCTCCATTCCATTACCACCCTTCCTGCAGCCCTCCCTGTCTATCACTCAGAGGTAAGAAATTTCTGCCGCCTCTGTGTTTTTTTCCTTTCCCCATTGTTGTTGGTCGTATGCAAATGTGGCCAGTGACCTTGGCCGGTTTAATCTCTGCACGGCGCCATGGAGTCGGAGTGCATCTGTGTGCACAATGCATGAGAGCTTTAGCAAGCATGCGAAGATGAAAAGGAGAGCCACCCTCTGCTCTGCCTAAGCCAGCGTCTCGCTGGGTGACCTCGCCTTTATCTCCTCCGATCTCGCACATGCCACCGATCCGTCCCAGAGGTCACGGCTTCCTCCCCCGTTTCCAGCTGCTTGGCCACAGACACAGGGAATGGCGTGTTCAGCGAACTGGGAGCGGAAACACTGGAAGGGTCCCGGCCCCCTGGGCTTGGAGGAGGCTTTTGATATAAATAAGTGTGAAATATACAGCAGCACTGTAAGCTGCTGTGGAGTGTGTGTTTTCTTTTTCCTTTTGCTTTCACACTTAACTGTTTCAAGTCAAACTAGTTTCATTATCAGTTGACAAACACAAAATGCAGTGAGGTTGTAGAGATAAAAAGCTACCCAGTGTCCTATGTGAGAAAGTAAATGTAGACTGTGTTGCACTCGGAAGGCAACAGCTGGCATCAGTCTTTTGGAAAAACTGACAATCTTTACTTCACTGCGGATGAATTTTGGACCACTCAGCATCCCAGAATGGCTTTAATTCAGCCACATTGGAGCTTTTTTTTTTTTTTTTTTTTTTTTTTTTTTTTTTTTAGGGGGGGCCCCCAACACCACATTTTTAGTGAGTTTCCTTTTTTGATAGCCGTT